AGTGGATTTCAAATGAACAATTTCCATCTAGTCAAACATTCAACATGTATCCACATCCTATAAGCAAACTTAAAAGGTAAATTACTGATAAAGCAAAGATGGGAAGGTGTGACTAAGAGGGTTTCAAGTTTCATATATTAAAAATAATACAAGATAAGCATGAAAAGCTAGCAAAATGTCTTCTAACATTAGAGAGAAAGGAGCTTTACTAAGCATCTAAAGATTATAAATTGAAACAATAAAGTGAAAATTACCTTGCAGCCCCCCAAATTTCCCAAACTTCGAGAGCTTATGTAGTATTAACAATGCAGCCTGCTGTTGTGTCTTGTGCCATCTGGTGCAGCATTTCTGGAGGGAATTTAGCAACACAGCTGAGGACCATCGAAAAGGCCAGTCTCAGTGGCGGAGGAATGACAGTTCTGTACTTCTTTTCAATACCAGAATTTTATGTAGAATCACATTATTTCTCATATATTTATCACTAAATATTGAAATCAATCACGTTATCTAACAGCAGAGGCATATTTACAGGAGTTATGAAATATCTAAATGACTCCTTGATTTATAAAACTGCTTATAACATGATATAAAATAACAAAAGGCAAAATTGAAAATTCTGGAAATATTTCTCTATTTCTTCCAGCTAAAATCCTTTAATTTTTTTGATATCTTATTCATTATATGTTTTGGGTGTTTCACATGCAAGCATGACTGTTTGTCATATGCAGTGTAATGAGGCCAGAAGGGAGCATCACGTTCACTGAAACTAGAGATACAGACATTTGTGAGCTACCCTGTGAGTGCTGGAAATGGAACCCATACAGATCCTCTGGAAGGGCAGCCAGTGCTCTTAACCTCTGACCTATCTCTCTAGTCTGTGAACATAGACTTTCTGTATTGCAGTTTGTTTAACACAAAGGCTGTAAGACTGCATATTCTATCCTCTTGGCCTTAAGGAGGAATTTCATAAGTCAGACCCTAAGATTAGGAAAAGGAAAAAGCAGGTGGACTATATGGTCGAAACTCACAGTCCAGGAGAAAAAAACATCCTCAGTCCCATTCATCGTCCTCTTCCTTATAGGACAGGCCAAGCCTAGTGTGATCTGCCAAAAGTAATTTCTTGATAGTCTGCTTGGAAAGGAAATGCATAAAACTTGCCCCTTAATACTAAAAAGCATTAGAGATGATAAGTTTTAAACTAATATCAAATAAGAAATAAAGGAATCGTAAAAGCACAGCAGTCTCTTTATACACACCAATAAATGAAACATCAAAATAAAACTTCAGGACTGCACTGAGGATGCACTTTTCAAACAACGATTCAAACACAAAGAGAGGCACAGACAGGGTGGGTGGTTTTTCACTCAAGGACACTGCCACAATGGAAGTCACTTTGTTTAATTTTCTTTATGATTCATCCAACACTCTGCTTATGCTTTGAGCCTGAAACACAACATTGAATAAAATGACAAAAATCCTTGCTGGTGAGGAAATTCTCTAAAAAAATTAACAGCAATGCATAGACAATATATGGTAATCAAGAACATCCTTCATGGTATGAAAAATATGAGGAGAGCCAAAGGGCCAGAGACTCCAGAGGGGGTGTCTGGGGCACAGCGATAGAGTGATGTTGGTTAAAGCTGCTAGGGTAGTCTTAGGAGTTAACAACTAAATAAGTACTTGCAAGGAGGAATACTTAGCAATAGTTTTATCTGAGGCAGTGCTGAATGCAGAGTGATCAATGGGTACAAAGGGCCTATACAGAGTGATGCCTGGTATGTTGACAAAAGGTAGACCGCACTACAGTAACATGTACTAGGAAAGATTCCTGCTGAAATGACTGTGAGATCCTCCTTGAATGGAGGTTAGTCTTCCCTCATGAGGGGATGGGGAGGGAACATTCCTACTTCCACAGACCATCACTTTGTAGCCTAGGCATGGCACAGAGGAGGTTTATAGCCCCATATCTGGGAGTACTCTTGGCTGTAATGTCTTGGCTGACCATAATAACAATTAGAAAGGGTTCTTTTTTTCCCCCATTTTTTTATTAAGAAATTTTCTACTCACCATAAATACCACCCATAGATGCCACCTCTTTCTTCCTCCCACCCCTAACCCTCCCTCCCAAGCCACCCCACATCCCCACATCCTCCAAATCAAGGTCTCCCATGGGGAGTCAGCAGAGCCCAGCACACCAAGCCTAGGCAGATCCACGGCCCTGCCTGCACGACCAAGGCTGCGCAAGGTGCCACACCACAGGTACCGGACTCCCAAAAGCCTGCCCATGCACCAGGGATGGATCCAGGTTTCCCACCCCAGTGTCCCCCAAACAGTTCGAGCTAAACAACTGTCTCCCTTATCCAGAGGTCCTAGTCCAGTCCCATGAGGGCTCCACAGCCACCAGTCCACAGTTCATGGGTCTCTAGCAGTGTGGCCAGTTGTCTCTGCACGTCTTCCCATCATGATCTTGATGTCCCCGGGCCCTCATAATCCCTCCTCCCTCCCATCCACTGGATTCCCAGAGCTCACCCTGGTGGAAGGATTCTGAATCTAAGCCTGGGTTAGCTCTCTTAGACTGAACTGGTGGTCACCAGATGGAGCTCTAGTGTTCCCTGGGCAGGCCCAGGAGGAGGCAAATGCCACAGCCCTCTATCGAGTTTGCCGCCTATCTCTTTCTCCTATCTCCTCTTTTTGCTCCTCTGGCTCTTGGAATCTCTTCCCAGGTATTAAAGGTGTCAAAGGCAACAATAATTAAAGTAGGAGGAAGGGTGTTTGAGTCCTTAGCCTAAAATTTGAAGTTGAGTCTTGTGAAGAATCAAGTATTGGTGAAAATTACTGTTTGGGGGATGATAAAGGCACAACCAATGTGAATAATACTTATTAAATATCTGCTAAAGTATAAAAATTTGACACAGGAATTACAGTAGCAGAGATTTATCACGGAGACACTCCCCATGCTACACAAAATTACATAAAGTCCCATTTACTCCAGGTCTTGTGTAATTGTAAATTCTAGAATAAGTCTAAACATCCATTGCTAAGTACATTTTGGCACATCACTAACTAGCACAATGCTTACAGATGCTTCCAAAAAGTAAACCTCTCTTTTTATGTTCTGACAAGAAACAGTCTGTGATGTCTAAATATTGAAAAGCAAAACTGAGTGTAGCTAGAGTTTTCCTGCCTTGCCCACAGTCAGGACAAATCTTTGTCACCCAACAATTCCACAGCTGCTCAGACCCAACCAAGTAAACACAGAGACTTATATTGCTTACAAACTGGATGGCCATGGTAGGCTTCTTGCTAACTGTTCTTACAACTTAAATTAATCCATTTCCATAAATCTATACCTTGCCACGTGGCTCGTGGCTTACCAGCATCCTCACATGCTGCTTGTCATGGTGGTGTCTGGCAGTGTCTCCTTCTTCAGCCTTCCACTTCCCAGAATTCTCTCAATTCTCCTGTTAGTCCCGCCTATATTTCCTGCCTGGCCACTGGCCAATCAGAGTTTTATTTATTGACCAATCAAAGCAATTTGACATAAGACCATCCCACAGCAACTGGGCTTGGTGCACACCTGCAATCCAAACATTCAGGAAGTCCAGGATGAGGGGACCACCGCCAATTCCAAGTAAGCCTGTCCTACATAAGTTCTAGGCTAACTACAACTACACAATGAGGCATCATATAAAAATCAACCTCCCAAAAAGTGAAAAAAATCAGATTATACTTTATGCATTTATAACATTTGCTTCATAAGTAGAAGACATTTTCATGTGATATCCTTGGAATGATATCTAAAATCTAGTTATTTGATTCTGACAAGTGGTTATTGGAGGACAAGAAAGGAAAAAATAAGTGGTTTTACAGTTCAATTTTGCTTTCTTTTGTATTTTAAATAATTCAAATGTATCACTCATACACTGGACTGAATTTGGCTTGGTAATTAGGAAAATTAATACTAGGTATTTCACTTAAACAAGTGTTTCATATTTTTCCATTTACTGATTATGCCATTTCAAAATGTATAAGTACTCCTTGAGTTTATTGCATTTACTGTCTAAAAATCTTTGCTTTATCCTTGCTTCAAGAGAATAAGCTTTCCTAAATCATATAGAGTTTTCTAATTTGGGTCAATATTCTAAGCTGTTGAATTTTATTTTACTAATAGCTATTAAGGAATAAAAATAAAAAAAAAAACTGTGATTTTTTTTTTTTTTTTTTTACCAATTCTTTGATGTAACAGAGAAGGTAAAGTTCTTTTCACAAATGTAATGGAAATGTCTACTACACAAAGCATTGCTGAGGTACTTTGGCTTGAGGTGTCCACATTCCGCAGATGTCGAATGTGTTGTGTAAAACTCCCTGTGTCAAAAAAATGTTTATTTAAGACAAGTCACTCATTAAACATAACCTTTATTATCACAATCTAAAACACACGCACACACACACACACACACACACACACACACACACACATACACACACACACACGGGATTATTTCAGTGGGCACCACAACCTTCTGAATAAAGCTGCTAAATGATAAGGCCTAGTATGGGGATTCAGAGTCCTTTTTTTTTTTTTTTTTTTTTTTTAAATGAAAGAGTTAGAGAAATGGTCCAGCAGTTAAGAGCACTTACTGCTCTTCCAGAGAACTCTTTCAATTCCCAGCACCCACATGGCTGCTTACAGTGATCTGTAACTCCAGTTCCAGGGAATCAAATGTCTTCTGCTGGACTCTGAGTACATCAGGTATGCATATGGTGCACAGATATATGTGAAACATGTATATTCATTTAAAAAGTAATAAAATAACAAGTAGAAAACAATAAGAAACATGGAAAGAATTGCTTCTTTGCTCTGATTAATTAGGTCTTTAGTTTTACATGAGGTTCCACATGTGAAAGTCTATGGTAGTGAACTACTGGCATGATCTAGATCATAAGGATCTTTCCTCTAGCAGTGAAATAGTTGTTAAAGAAATATATAAAACAAAAACTTACACATCTGAAGAAAGTTTTGTGTCCTTCTGGTGCACCCACTGAAATTGACTTCCAACTTTACGTAATCCAACCCAATAGCTGTATTTCAATTGTGACTGAATAAAGTTCTGTGGAAAAATTAGAATTTTAGTATTTCTCATAGTATCGATAATATCATATAAGATATTATACATAAGGTTCAAAGTCTAGCTACACTAAATTTATAATTTCTCAGTATCAAAAGACACTTTATAAAACATGTTAAAATAAGCCTCGGATTTGGAGATGCTTGTAGTTATTTAAAAGACAAATAAAGACATCTTGTAAGCCAATGGAGAAATTCATCAAATAGAAAAAATGGGGAAAAAACAAGAATATATGCTTTATGTGAAGAAAGCATATATAGGTCATTAAACATAGACATGTCAATGGCAATCAAAACATTCATGCTAAAGCTGTAACGAGGTATTTTTCCAATTAATCATCTCAGGTGACATGGGAATAATGACAAGAGAAGTTCTGTGGATAATGAGATCAGAAAATATACTTACTATTGTTATTAATATCATATTGAAGAGTACTAGGGAATTTTAAAAATTTTTACATACCCTATTATGCAACTCCTAAAGTTATGTGAGTAAAAGAGAAGACATATTGAACAGTAGTGCATGGAAGACAAGTTTGAGGGTGTTGATAGAAAAGCAAATTACTACAACTAGATAAAGAACAAAAACTTGCATCTATATCATGATGTCTTACATCATGTGAAACTTAAGAAACTATAGGAAATTTTAAACTATGTTGTATTTATAATAATCTAATTAACTTGCATTTTTCCTTCTGTGTAAATGTAGATCATAGACTCTCTGAAAAATTTATGTACTGAAATAATGAGTTTAAATATCTTAGTTACTTGTAATCTTCTTTCCAAGTGTTATATATTGTTCACCTCAATTTTATTCTTATACATGCCAACATGTGGCAGTGAATTTTGTTGCTAAAAGCAATACAATTTTATTTATGTTCCTCTCTTCCCTCCCCCCCCCAACAGAGTCCACAGTCTCTGTTATCTTGCAGTTTAACTAATTAATAGTTACAAGAGAAAAATTGCAATACATGAAAATTGCATGGACATTATGAAAACACATTTAAGTATACATTTTATATCACTAAAACCATATAAGTTACATGCCCATAATTTCATTCATTTATGGACATTTTCTAGGAATAAAAAAATAGACATAGAACCCACACCATCTGCCCTACTGGGTAGGACTGTTGTTCTCCTCTCTAGGCTGTCAGCACCCCATCTCTATTCTCTGGGGCTTCTGTGAAAATGCTGCCACTGGGTAGAACCCACTCTTCCCTCCTCCTGAGGCCAACCAATGTTCTGTCTTCCTTTCCAGGACCCTACTACTATATTACCATTAGGTAGTACCTCTTTTCTCTCCCATAGACTGCCCAGTGTCCCTTCCTCTCTTTTCAGAAGGATAACACTTACTGTTCCTCCAGATATGGCCACCTCTTTTCTCTTCATAGTCTGCATTCAACAAGACCCCATGCTGTTGCTTCTGTCAGATAGAGATCCTGTTTTCTCCTTCCTAGGCTGTCCAAAACCTTGCTTGCCTTCACACAGTCCCAAGCAAACCACACCACAGGCTTTTCAGTCTAGTTCACAAGTTTCCCTCACAACTCCACAATAAGAAAGAAAAATAAGAATAATGCAGAGGCTAGGGAGATGGCCCAGTGATTATGAGTATTGCTGCTTTTGAAAAGGACCCACGTTTGATTTCAAGCACATGCATTTTGTGGCAGACAACCACCTCTAAGTCCAGTGACAGAAGATTTGACATTTCTTTTGGTCTCCATAAGTACTAACGCACACATAACATGCACATACAACCCCCATACATGCAGAAAATAAGTATCTGGGATACATTTATTGAAAATTAAAGAATTAAATATAAATTATGTAAATGTCTTCATAGTAAAACAATATTCCAATTTCTAAAGAACTAACTTGTAACAACAGAGGTTCAGAATGCCAAAGGTGTTCATAAATTGGGTATTGGTCTTCATATTTCTTTGTCTATACCATCCAGTTTTTATGAAATATCTATTTTAATAAAATAATTATATTAGTAAGTGTAGTGATATTTTATGCACTCTGTATAAGATACTATTACAAGCAGCATTTATAAAAATAATTATTAAAATGGACTCTAGTGCCTAACTAGAATTGTTGTAAATAAATCTACAGAATATGCTAGAGTGACCTCTTTCATAAGCTTTGGAAACAATAGCAAGTGTCATATACAAACAACAGAGCAACTCTTGTCATGTAGACAAATTTCTAAACAGTCTTATTAAATAAGAAACACAGAGCCAAATACAGAGGAAACACCCAAAGAGATCAGAGCAATAGCCATGACTAGCTTTAGCTTACCACTAGCAGTAGCTTCCATAGAGAGCTTCTTCCTGTCTAACCTGTGTTTTTATTGCCTTCCTGTTCTGCCTTCCTATTGGCTCTAAGCCCAGCCACATGACTTCCTCATCACTGCCTGTCTATACAGACCTCCAGGTCTCTATGGTTGCTAGTGGAATTAAAGGCTCATGTCACTACACTCTGCTCTGTCTTTCACCACACAGAGACTCTACCTGCCATGTGATCAGATTAAGGGTGTGAGCTACCACTGCCTGACTTCTGTTTAATGGCTATTTGACCTCTGATCTCCAGGCAACTTTATTTATTAACATACAAATAAAATATCACCACATTGTCATACCGAGCTATGAGTAAAATAACAATTATTTCTGAGGAATGATTCTACCTCTTCCTTTTATTTATTTTGTCTTTATATTAAATTGTGATTTTCTCACGTCCAACGACAGAACAGATTTTTTTCCAGATACTGATGATAGAAGAACAGAACTAAAAATTAATTACTTCTTTTGAACCATTCATATAATCAAAGATAGCTTTTCCCATTAGCTTTTCATTAACAATAAATGGTCTGCTCTAGCTAAACTCTGAAGGTGCAATGCCGATTACGTGGCTGAGAATTATCCCATGGTGCCCACACCCACCAGAGCTATTTTTCATTAAATAAAATAAAAATGTTCTTCTAGGTACTTTTATGTCTCTGCCCTTTTATCTGCAAGTAAATATGTGCTAATGTACATATGTCCTTCTGTTCAGCAGGCAAAGAACAGTAGGAGGAACATAAATGATTATCAAAACTTCACCAGACATCCAGGCTTCTCAAGAAACATTCAGGTGATAACTATACACACCTGTTCCTCTTTGTTGTCAATCTTAGCCAGGTGAGAACCCAGGTATCTGCAGGATGTCTCACTCTCATCCCATGTCTTTTCTTCCTCTGAAAAGTAGTAACAATTTTCTCCACAACATGACCATCTTCCTTGACATGGGTAATAGCCTTTTTATGAAAATAAAAGCAATCATTATTCTGAGACTCATATCAAGACATGGTTTTTTGGTGTTTCATTGTTTGCTCCATATTTAACACCAAAGAGTAATTGCTTTCACTAAAAATAGCTCTTCTGCCAAATTTTATAGGAAAGAATGTTGTGAATACAGACACTGTCTCTCACAGATCTGAGATCTTTGTTATGGTTGCACTGACAAATCTTGACTTCTGAAGGAGAAAGACACCAGCATCAAACATTTCTATCTGCAAGAAGAGATCCATCAAAATGAGTAATGGGAGGGACATTGATCTAATAGGCTCTATATGTGGTAAATACACCCACCATATAGAATAGTACAAAATGTACAATAAAATCAAGATGACAACCAACAGCAACTTCTTCAGTGAAAGTAAAAAGTTTAACTAACTATAACAAAAAAGATAGATTCGGTAAGGAGAGGTGAACAAAGTTCACATCCTGCCAGACTTTGATGTAAAGTTTTAAGCTTACAATCTGAAGTGGGACAGAAATATAAATGCCATTAAAAGTATGTCAGTTTTCAGTTCAGGTTGTGATGTATACCTTTAGTTGGTGGTAAAATTGAAGGACCTGCTACTTCCATTGAGGAGATAGTACTTTCATTTGCATCCTTCCCATGTTGAATTTTGAAGTTAGAAGTGCACTGAAAAACTAAGTCCATACTATGAGATTAGAACGACAAGTGGTAATGACTGACAACATTATAATCACTTAATTGTAATTGTAAACAGTAGATGGTGTTAATTAAAGAACAGTAAAAAATATAAAATATTTTGTAGTGCTAGAATACAAAATATATTTTAAAAATACAAATATTTATAACTTGCAACACACTTCTTTTAAAGCATTTATAACAAACTTATAAAACAAAAGGTCAACTAAAAAAATGTATAAACTAATTTCATGCCCTGTATCTTCAAAGAATGCTTTGAAATTTTATTCCATTTAATGTTTACATGTGTAGTTTAAAGGATCTGGCTTTATATTTCAATTTATAATGGACTTACTGAATCTGAATGGAGAAAATCAAACAGACATTTTTAATATGCAAAAAGAAAACAAAAAAATCTCTATAAGGAAAGTCATAATCTTAGGGATGAGGAGATAGCTCAGGAGTTAAGAGCATGTTCTACTCTAGCAGAGGACCCAATTTTGGCTCCTGGCACTCACATCAGATAGCTCACAACTCACTGGAGTTCTAGTTGTGGCAGAGCTGAGGCCTTCTCCTGGCTTCCACCACCTCTGCCCTTGTATGCATTTGCACTCCCAACACACACACACACACATACACACACACACACACACACACACACACACACATACCTTTAAAAAAGTAATGTTTTTTAAATAAGGAATCAAGATGTCTTCCAATAACTCAAAAACTAACAATAAAAGAGCACTAAGCAAGCAACTGTGTTTTCTCATTTATAATTCTTGTCATGGTTATTTAGAAAAATTCATTGTTTGTAATTCTTTGCATATAGGGTATTCTCATCATTGTTCCATGAACTTCTCCTTGTTTATTCCATTTAGTGTTTGTCCAAACTGCCGCTAGAACCTTAATCACTACATGTATCAATTTACATATTATTCCCTTGATTTAGTTTACAGCTCCTTTTAGAGTCTCTTCTTCTTTAAGATTGTTCTTACTTTGTTGCTTTAAGGCTATAATCTTATAAAAATGCATCATGACATGCAAAATGGCCACTTTTTCAATTTGCTTTAACATGCTAATATTCAACCACATTGTTACATATCATGTTCATTTTTTGACTACTGTAAAAATTGCATTTTGTGAATCCATCTAAGAGATCATGTAAATCTACATACTTTCAACACTTGCTTAACCATAGTTTAAAATTGCAATTTTCCATGCTCACTGATTTCTAATCTTAACTCTTTTGAGCCATTGCAACCTGGTTTGTGTCAAATCATCGTTCTACTAAGTCTACACCAGCAAGAAGCTTTAGTAGTCTTCCTCTTGATCAAAGTTCTGTCTGTTTAGACTGTCATGTCATGTCAGCATTGGGTGTCCTTGGCATACATCCTGATGCTAGATGGTTGTGTTTCCTCCTATCTACTAATCAGATTTTCATTTTTTTCACCCTCAATCATATTCACCTATTTTTGATGTTAATTTATCCTAAGGATCATCATCCTGACCTCTTGTCTTCTAAAATGGCAACAGTACCCCCTGGTTTTGGAAGGTTTCTACATGATCTGCCTTCCATCTCCTTTTGTCATGTTCTCAAGTAATTTGCTGTATTAATTGAATGAAATTTAACACATTTCATATCTCTAATATAGATATCTGTCTTGATTTCATCTATGTGCTGATACTCTGAACCTATTGCCAACAGCTAACTATGAAGAAATAACTCAACTTAAGCTTTATGGGTATGTCCACTGATGTGCCCTATGCACCTGAATCCTCTCTCTCTCTCTCTCTCTCTCTCTCTCTCTCTCTCTCTCTCTCTCTCTCTCTC